CCTCACTCTAAACTGATGGTTCGGAGGCACGATATGTTGTTGGCACTGAGAGTTTGGCACCCTGGGTAGTGGGCAGGGCTGTACCCTCCCCTCCCTGCCCCCCATTTCTAGCTGTTTTATGTTGGAGGGGACCCCATGCCTCTCTGGGCCTCATCTGTAATGGATGACATCAGCCAACCGGCTGTCCTTGGGGGCCCTCCTCTCCTATCCCCAGGCCTTGAGGTGGCAGAGACTGGGCAGATTGTTCATCCCGTGGCCCTTTGGTCCTCCAGCAGCAGGCTGGCTGTGCACCGGGCCCTGCGCAGGGACCCTGCGCAGCACGGGGCACCCACTGCGTGTTGGGGTGCTGCGGGCCCTGCCTGTCTTCTCAGACAGTTGGGATGAGCCACTTTCCACTTACAAAGTGCAGTTTGAAGAAAGCTGAATTTTTAGGGCATTTTAATATGAATCTTCACTGTTGAGACTCTTCAGAGAGGAGCCTGAATTATGTAGGATCAGCAGGGGGTGCTAAGTTGGTGGTGATTTTTTGGGCTTATTAAAGTACTAAACGTTTATTTCTCGTACACTAGGGGCAGAGGACGGTCAGTTTGAGAAACAGACAAATAAATGCTGGTTTCTGCTTGTTGGTTGAGTGTCACTTCAGTTATTTGCATTCATTCCGTGAGTTGATTTGGTTCTTTGGAGCAGAGTTTGTTTCTGTCTGCTTGCTTGTTAGACTTCCTTTTTCCTTTAAACTTCCAAATCTCACAACACATCCACGTGTGATGGTGTCAGCTTCGTTTCTTTTGCTGTAACGGGTGCAAGTTTCAACGCTAGTAGTGGGGTGCAGTTCAGCTGGGATGCGGCCAGGGCTGCCATGTGCAGTTTCCTAGGTAGCCTCCTGAGTTTTAAAAATTAAATTTTTTTGTTATCACTGTCAACCTAAATAACAGACAGGCTCTCTAAAAGAAAAGTGTTTATTTGGGAGTAGGGCATTGCAATGGGAACACGCATATCATGATAAACTATATTTGTGTTCAGGGAAGTCAAGGAAGACAAAGGCTTTTAAAGGAAAAATGAGGATTATGTAATTGTTTTGAAATAATTATCCTCAGCTACAAAGATCAATAACAAGGGTGATGCTGCCGGAAGTTGGACAGGCATTGCTGGGCAGACGTCCTCGTAGAAAGAATTTTTGTGTAAGGCTGTGATGGTCTTTGTGCCTGGCTGTGGTTTTTGCAGTCTTTTGTGATGTTAATAGTCCTTGTTATCAGGCACTTGTGCATGAAAACCCTCCCCTCCTGGCCTTCCCTGGCTCTGCTTGTCTGGGTTATTTATTTATTTTTTTTAACACTAGTGACTCCATTTTTATTCTGACAACTTTCACATCACAAAGCCATGATGTGAAAAGCCATCCACCAAACATAGAAAATACAGGATAGCAAATGCAAAATTAGTACATAGTGAGTTCATCTTGTACATGTGTTGTAGCCGCTTTCGGTTTAGCAGTTGAGTGTGAACATTTCCCACGTCAGCACTGATGCTGCAACAGACGCCTGCACGGCTGCGTGGTGTTCCCTGGTGTCCTCAGGTGGTTGGGTCCCGTGCTTTTCTCACTCAAGTGCTGAGCACCTTCTCGTGCATTCTGTCAGCCCGTGCTGCACGTCGGGCAGATGCTGGCACTGGCCTGGGCAGTAGGTTTGCAGATTGCAGCAGACAGGCCTCTGCTGGCCTCGTGTCCATGCCAGTCCCCTGGGAGAGAGGCAGGCACAGCTGACACATGTGATCTCGGTCGTGTGCAGTGTGGGAAGGAAAAGAACCGAAGGCCTAGGGAGAGGACGCTGGGGAGTCTGACCTAGATGGGTGCTTAAAGGTCTCTTACAGGAAGGGGAGCTTGGTGAGGGATGAAGGGAGGGAAGGACACGCCCAAAGGCTGTGAGGCAGAGCGCTGCAAGGGAGCCTCCGAGGTGCCAAGCAGGGCTGGCAGGGGTGGGTGTGGGGAGCAGGACGACTAGGAGGAGGCCGGCGACGGGCCAGGCCGGCAGTGGGTCACAAGGGAATTGCTGGGTTCCAGATACTTTCCATAGCTAGAGTCAGCTTTGGGCGTATTTTTTGAAAAAGCAATTTCTTAGACAATTTTTCTTGAGAATCTGTGAAATTCATCAGTGTGCTAGTAAGGAACCCAGCGAGGTGACCAAACAAGTGTCCATTTCAGAGAGGGCTTGAGAAGGAGGGTGAGAGAGTGGGACCCAGGGTGTGGACACGGAACGCCGGCCTAAGCGGGAAAGAACGTGAGTCCTTTTGCCCTCATGTGGACAGCGGTTGATCGGTTGTCACAGAAACTCCCTCTCTGGCAGAGGCCTGGATGCCTGACGGCAGGGGCAAAGGTGCGTGGGGAGGACACAGCCCTGTCTGAAGTGGAACTCTCAGGATTGTCTCACAGGCTGATGTGCAGAAGACAGGGACGGTGTCACCACAGGCCAGTGGCTGGCCTCTGGGTGACTGGCGGGAATGGCACACAGGTGCAGGCCGGCCCGTGTCGTGGAGGAGCAGCCTTGAGCTGGCCCTGGCTGTGTGTCACCCCCCAGCACCTGCTGATCCAGCCTCTCCATCGCTCCTCACTGGACACCCTCTGGTCCATGGTCACTCTCAGGATGACAACGGTAGAGCCTCCTCTGGATCTGGCCAAGGCCCAGATACCGCATTCATCCCCTTTTGTCCTCCTGTGATCCTGGTGGCCTGCAGCCCCTTGGCGCCAGGCCTCTTGCCTGCTGGGAAGATGGTGTCACTGCCTCTTGCCTTCCCTCAATTGTCCCCTCTGTCTGGCCTGCTCGAGGCCCAGCTCGATGATGTCAGCCTCCTTGGGCAGGGTCTCTGGGTTCCTGGGTGGGTTCCGCCTATGGGTGCTGGCCCACAGGTACGGTTCCCCGTGGCCCCTGGCACAGATGAGGTTTGGAAGCCCTGCTTGAGCCAGAAGCTGGTGCCTTGTCTGTGCTCCCAGGGCTCGTGGTGTCCTGCTCTCACCCTTCCCCGCTGGCCAGGGGAGCGCTAGCACACGGAGTGGCACCTGCCACTACAGCTATTTAGTCAGTGGTGCAGGAAGAGGGAGAAGTGCTTTTGCTGTGATATTGTGTGGAAAGCTTCTTGTTTGAATTCTTGTTGGGATATTAGGATTTGATGAGCACATGTGGGGTGTTTTGTTGCTGTCTGTAAGGACCCTGTTTCTGTTGGTGATACAAGCTGAGTGTCCCTTATCCGAAATGCTTAGGACCAGAAGTGTTTGGTATTTCAGATTTTTTCAGATTTTGGATGTTTGCATTATACTTACTGGCAGAGCACCCCTAGTCCAGAAATCTGAAATCTGGAATGCTCCAATGAGCATTTCCTTTGAGCGTCATGTTGGTGCTCAAAAGTTTCGGATTTTGGAGACTTTCGGGTCTCCAGGTTAGGGGTGTTCCCTGTGGGACCATTCTGCGCAGGCTGTGGAAGGGCAGGGTGAGGCTGGCTGGAGTAGGAGGGCCTGGGAAGCGGGAGCTGGGGGAGCACGGGGGTTTTCCCTCCTCCTCCTATTCACCCTCCCTTGAAGAGGGGCAGCATTACCAGCCTTTGCTCTGGGAACAAGCACGGGTGTGTGCTGTCCTTGAGCAGGTGAGGGGCTCTTCGTCCCAGCCTGGCTGGCGGATCACATGGTGCTTCCCGACAGTGCTCCGTTAGTTGATGAAGTAAACAAGTTATTAACTGGAGGAGGAGGCTTTGGAGTTGTGGTAGTTTGGAGAGAAGAAAAGTCACCTGGGGGGTGACGGAACAGCGGTCACAGTGCTGCAGTTGGTGTCAGAAAGTCGAGTGAGAGCTGCCCCTGGATGTTGTGAGTGGCTGGGCGGAGGTGCAGAGTGGGTGAGGAACAGAATAAACTAGGGTCAGGATTTTACCGGGTGGATTGCTGGTTGGCGTGGGGAGCCAGCAAGTAGGCATGGGAACTGTGAGGGTGTGTGTTGGGGGGGTCTCTGAGGCCCAGGGACCAGCCAAGAACAGGCGAGGGCAGGGGCCAGGCAGGTGAGATGCCAGGGGACCACAGGTCCCAGTTGGGAGAGTTGGGGCCGGAGATGGAGGTGTAGGCAGAGGGGAGGGCGGGTGTTGCTTCACCTTGCAGTTCCAAAGGAAGGGACAGGGACTGCTGAAGTTTAGCCCCTAGGGCTTTACAGTGAATTGCTACAACGTTTTCTATGAGATGCACGAGATTCTTGTGCAGGTGGAGAGAGAGAAGAGAGTGCAAAGAGCCTGGCGATCTTTAGATAAACACATTAACTTCCGTTATGCCTGAAATTGGTCATTTAGGATTTCAAATATTCAGAAAATCAAAGCTTGCCAGCTGTGATGCCTTTTATTTGTAAGATATGGTGACTTATTTGCTGGGACCAACATCACATTTGGGGAAGTGTCTAGCATAATGATAGGCACAAAATAGATGTTTGTCGAATTGAATTAATTCTGGTCATTTCTGGGAGGAAGAACTACGAGAGGTTTTAATAGCCAGTTATTTCGTGCGTGGGAGCTGGCTTGGTCTTCAGACATCATCTGAATGTTTAGGAATCTTTCATTTCCTAAAATGCCTATACAATTATGTAAGAGCACATCCTTGCTGAAAACCAGCCTTTATGTTAATAATTGTTACTATACACTGTCTGCTTTCCAAACACCCATGCATATCACTTCACTTGATCTTGGCAGCAGCCTTCCGAGGTGGCTGTCTTATGACTACAGAGATCGAGGCTTTGTCTGGCACACAGTTGGCAAAGCAAATACTTGAAGATCCTGAGATGACTCTTTTTTTGATTTTGGGTTTTTTGTTTTTTGTTTTTTTGTATAAAATGTACTTAATGTAAACTTTACCCTAGGCCGACTTCTCAGTCTAGTCTCTTAACCTCGTCCCACGTGTGCTCTGTTCCCCCTGTCAGCGCATTGGACACACCAAACGTCTCTTCCCAAGAGAATGACATGACGTATTTTTTCTTTGTGTTTAGGGCTCAAAATTTGGGCGTGGAATTGGACTCACTCAGACTTCTCAGCGCACCTCTGCTCGGAGATCGTTCGGAAGATCCAAGAGGTTCAGCATCACTCGCTCCCTTGATGATCTTGAGGTAATTTAAGTTTAGTTTTTCCTCTTTTCTTCCTCAAGTTTTAAAAAATGAAAATTCACCTCACGAATACATCTGACTCTCCTTGGTCCCTTGGTCTCTCCCCGCCCTCTCGAGTGGTGGGCAGCGTTTTTGGGGGCTTTCCATGCATGTTTACACTCCTTCCTACCCCAGGATAGCCAGGAACCGTTGGAGTAATTTTAGGGCTCTCGTCTACGGGCCAGACTGTGGTAACAAAGGCTTTTAGAAGCAAACCTGCTCAATCCCCACAGAAGCTCTGTAAGGCAATGTCCTGTCACCGATCCCTTTGAAGATGAGACATTGATCCACTGGTGTGGGTAGAGCCCCATTTTGTGTGGCTCTTTTCTTTTACCTACATTCCTTGTTTTAAAGAAAAATGAATAGATTATACTCTTTAGAGCAGTTTGAGGTTTACAGAAAACTTGGACAGTAAGTGCAGAGTTCCCTACCCCTGCCCTCGCATCCCAGTTCGCGGTGCACCACCGATTGTCCCCCTCTTGCTCTGTGTGGCGCGTGTGTTCCAGCCGGTGCGCCAGTGTGGCGCATGGTCAGCTAAGTGCACAGCATACTTGGCAACTACTGATCTTTTCCTGTCTCATCTTGTGTGTTTTAAAATTTTATAACACAAGTCTTATTCTGCCACTATTAAAACATTGTGTTGTGTTTTTGGGATTTACTCATGTGGTTTCCGTTTGGTCATTTTACTTGCTCTAGTTATGAGCTACCTGTTCTGTGGCATTCTGTTATGAACATGACAATTTCTGGGCCACTCTGCTGTTGGTGTCACTCAGTCATCTGCTCTGAAGGGAGCTTCGTGAGCATTCCTCACACGTCTCCTTGAGCGCATGTGTGGGTGTGCGCTAGCGTCCGCAGCAGTGCAGGGTCTGGGTGAGGGCATGGCCAGACCCTGTCCATGGTGGCTGTGCTGCCTCACACTCTTCAAGGAGCAGAGGTGGGCTGGGGGTGCAGTAAGTGGGGGCCCTGCCGTCTTGGTCTTCAGGCAGCTTGAGGGCGTGTCATGGTGCACTTGTATTTGCCAGTCAGCTGCAACATGCTTGTGCTGTTGTTGAAGACACAATAGGTGGGTGACCCGGCAGGGCCTGGCCCGGCACTGAGGACCCTTGGGGCATTGGTGGTCCTGGCAAGAGGCGGAGTCCCAGCCTCGCCTGCCTGCTCACTTTGGGGTTTTTGCCAAGTGTGGTAGGTTTGCATCTTTCTGTGGTGAGGGTCTCTGAGGGGTCTGAGCCCCCAGGAAGCGGAGAACCATGTGTCAGTGGCTTTGTGGTGATGGCCTGGGAAAACCACTCAGGTCAGCTTCCGTCACTGTCACTCTCCTCACCTCAGAGGACATCTGGTACTTTCCACCTGCAGACAACTAGGGGTTTGCCATTGGCAGGTATTAGTGATTGAGCACAAGATGGTTATTTTATGTCTTTTATCCCAAATCTTCTGACAGCCCAGCAAGAAGAGCACCATGTCTCCATTTTACAGACGAGAAGACCTAGATGCAGCAGGTTCAAGGGCACTTTGGGGCCCAACACACGGCAGAGCATGTGATCTTTCCATTGCATTTACAGCCTCTTACTTTTGCCAAAATAGTACATTAGAGACATGAGATTGAATCCTTCGTCATTTTTTGCCTGAAGATATCAAAATGTAGATGCTACAAATAACTTGAACACGTACTCACTCATTGGTAAGGCTGTTTCCAGGGAAGCCTGTTGAAAAGCTTCTCTTGTCTGCTCTTCGGCAGGTCTGTGAGGCAGCCTGTAAGACAGCCCCTGGTCCCATCTCCTCATCCTCACACCTGGTGGGTCCCCTGCTTTGTGGGTGTGGGTTGGACCCACAGAATACGGCCCAGTGATGGGATGTGACTTCCAAGATGAGGGTATAAAAAGACTGTGGTTTCCGCCTTGCTGCCCCCCACCATCTCCCTTTGGAGCCTCAGTCTGGGCCAGTGCCAGGTTGTGGGTGGACCTGTGTGTCTCTGGCAGGACTGAAGCCTGCTCACCTGGGGCTCATGTACACACCCCCAACTGCCCCGCATGGCTGCTCTGTTTCTGCACCCTCTGGGCCAGGTGGCCAGTGCTGGAGGCTGGCCCAGTCCTCCCGATGACTTGCTGTGTAGTGCCCAGTCTGTGGGATGATCTTGGGAAGGTGCCTGCGTGGGGGTGGGCAGCACCCCTGTCCCACTCACTCCCTGGGGCTCCAGCCCCCTGCCTCTCTGTGGGGCCTTCCTGGCCCTCATCTTCCCACTTCCTCCTTCTGGGCCCTGACCTACCCGCCGGCCACTTGCCCTTGCCCATGAGTCCTCGCGTGTTCTCACCTTGGGCCACTTTTGTCTTCACACACAGCAGACAACCAGGGTGCTCCCTTTAGCTCTGGCCACATCTTTCAGGGTGTCTGTTTTGGCTCACGCTGCTGTGCTGAGCTGGTCCATCTGTGCAGCAACCTCATTCGTGGGGAGTCCCCTGTGTGGCCTGAGTGTGAGCCCACAGAGCTGTGCTGGTGCCCTGGTGGTGGATGGCATGTGACTCTGGGCCATCTGCTCATGCAGCCTCCGCCTCCCTGCTGGATGTGAACTGTCTCGAGGTGAATTGCTGCTAGGCTGCCCCACGGCAGGGCCATACTACACCCATGATGGACAGTGCTGGTGATTCAACATTCTGCTGACTGAATGTCCCGTGTAGACTCTTCTTCTCCCCCAGGGCCCAGCAGCACCCAGGAGTGTGTGGACCCTGTTGCCTTTGTCCTGGCTTTGCCCCAGACCCTTACTTCTTGGCTGTGCATCTCCTCCTGGGGCTTGCTGCCAGCCTGGTGGGGTCTTTCCCACTGCAGATGTCTCTAGTACTGTAGCGTCTGCCAAGTAGAACGGCCTGAGTATCGGGGCTGCCTGTCCTTGCCTGCCTGGCCCTGCATTGCCGGTAGCCTTCCACCATCCCTAGGAAGGGGAAGCACTCCCAAGTGAGGGACCATCTACCTCAAGAGCCTGTTAACCTAAGTAACAAACAGAGGGGAAGACCCTCTAAAAGATGATATTTATTTGGGAATAGGCATTGCAGCGGGAATACGTGTGCCATAGTAAGCTATATGCATATTCAGGGAGGTCAGGGAAGACAAATGTTTTTAGAGGAAAAATGATGAGGATTACATAAGTGTTTTGGGATGATTATCCTTGGCCACAAGGATCAGTAATGAGTGGCACCAGTCCAAGGTTGGACAGGCAGTTGCTAGGCAGATGTCCTTGCAGAAGTATTTTTTTGTGTAAGGTTTCGGTGGCCTTTGTGCAAGGTTGTTTCTGTGGAGTCTTTTGCAATAGCTCTTGTTATTAGGCAACAAGCAGGGGAACCCTACCTCACGGCCTCCCCAGCTCCACGTGGCAAGGTTTTTAATGCTGGTGATTCCATTTTGGTTCTGATAACTTTCACATTTTCTGCTTTTGATTACGAGCTCTCCCAAAGCACAGGTGATCAGTCATCCTGTAGTTAGGTGTGGATTGACCCTGGGTGCCTCAATGGACCTGTCCCAGGTTGCTGGTCTGGTCCCATGTCGGAGAGAGTGATTGGTGACTAAAAGTCAGTGTCAAAACCGTTTTAGCCCCACTTGAGCAACAGGGAAGGTTTGGAGGGGTGGCTCTCAGGCTAGGTCCATCTGGAGTCCGTTGTTAAGTTCAAACTTATCTATTTCATAGGCATTGGCTATCATCTCAAAGTGCTGGGCTGGTTTTACTTTGTTAGGAGTTGTACTTGGGCAGAAATTTAAAAAGTAACAGGTACAAAGTTTAAAAAGAAAAAATGCAAATGACAATCCTAATTTACATAATGATTTTGAGTCATGAACCTAGGCTTAAAGGCACTTGATCTTAGCTAAAAGGCAAGAAGCAATGAAGGCAACCAGCTGAACAAATCAAATGATCATGGGAATTAGGCAAGACTTGTAACCATGTGGCCTGTTTTCTTACTTTGTGTATCTGGGTCTCAGCTTCCGCAAAGGAATTTATCAGGTGCAGCACGTAGTATTAGCAATGGCACAGACGTTTCCTTATTTAACCGGTAGACAGCATAGAGCAGTTTTATCATCTAACCTCCCATGGCTGGGCTGCATTAAAGCAGAGAGTGAGCAACAGTTGTATCAGGGAGGTTGCCAAAGTCACCCGCTAGGTGGACTCAAGGATCTCTTGGGTCAGGTTCTGTCAAGTTACCAGCAGAAGCTACTGATTGTGGAATTTCAACGACACCATTATCCTGCCAAGTGAAAAAGTTGGCACTGACTGGGGTAAGCGTTGTTCTGACGTCTTGGGGAAAGCTGCCCATGGCTCGCGGTCATCAACTTCTTGCCCTGGTTTGCAGAACGAGTGTCTCTGGTTATGGCATGGGTGAGTTTGGTGAACTTTCTGAGTGGCCCCTACATCAGGCATGAGACTTGTTTCTTAAAATTCACCTGGTTTCATCTTATAAGGTTTCAGGAACAGAGTGGTTCCCATTTTTAGTAATTCTACAGGAGAAAGTTGGATTAGAGGAACCTAGAGAAATTTAGGATGTAGCCCAGTCTACAGGTAGACAACAAGAAGTCAGAAACAGTGCACCGGGCTAGTCTCACAGCAGGTGTATAACAGTGTATAACAGGTGAGTAAGAAACAAAACTTTCTCTACATTGATCACGTGGGAATCTCAGATTTAAAAACCTCTTGAGGCTAGGAAGCCAAACCAAGGCAGACTTTCGATTTTACCTATAGTCTTAAGGTTCCTGGGCCTGCCAGGAAGTGACAAATTTTACTCACTGGAAGCCTGGAAGCCCTTGAAACCAGGCACATCCTATGCACATTCTCAAATATGATATTCCAGTCACAGCCTTGGTAATGTAACTGACGTTTCCAGTCGTATCCTGTTATAAAGAGAGAGCAGATCTTTATTGAACTTATGTAAATAACTGTATTGCCATAACAATACTCATGAATAGTTCCCAGATTTTGGAGGGATCAA